ACATGGTAATTTCAGCTCTGTTTGTGTTTTCACTGCATTCACAATTATCCTCGGGTTGTTTTCATACTGTGGAATAAAAATGGTTACTCTTACTTGATCTGTTCAATACCAGTGATTCTAATGTGATTTTTTTAACAACTTAATTTTTTAAGTTAGAAAATATTTTTCTCACTGGATGGGAAGTATTAAATTTTCTTGGGGCTGAAGTCATATAAACCACTTTCAATTATATTATATCATTTAATCAACTTTGGTCATCCTCTTTTAAATTATGTTTTATAAGAGTCTCCCCACTAGAATTTTACTGGAAATCCTCAGTTAAGATGGATTTTGAGATACCAAACAAAATAAGAAAAACACAAGCACAAAAGCTGTTTGCCTTATTATTTTCCTACAAGTTCACATCCCACTGTTGAAATAATTCATGCATTTTAATGTTCATCATTACCTAAAGCACATTTTTATGTGTCAGGTTATTACTGATTATTATTTATATAACACAGTTTACTGAATTCAGGCGGAAGTGGAAAGCTTTATAGGCTGAATGCATAATTATATTTTGGTTAGACTAGATGATGAATTATTTTACATGTGTAGTTGTCATACACAGTAGTGAAAATTAGATGTGAGTTAGTCCTCCAGGGGTGAAAACTTCCTCTAAACCTTCCAAATTTAGATTATAAATTATAAGTGTAAGTAGGTTGGGTGTGGTTTCCTCATTTGTAGGGAAAGATGGATCTTGATGCCTCCAAATCCACAAGAACTAATAATATTTTAGAATTTTACTCAGAATAATCAAAGCAAGAGACAAATCACAATAGTCAATTCAGCTACTTGATTTCAAGTAAACAAAATAAGTGCTCTCAATATATTTTAATTTTTATTTTCAAGTGGTTCTGTTGGAATTATGGAAATACTCTTAGGGCCACATTATTCAGAGGATTCTATTGTATGGATGTATATCTTAAACACACACACACACACACATACACAAATCCATCTGCTACTCAAAGGCACACTGGATCAGTTTACTCAAGACTGAATATGTCAAATAATGGCCGACTCTGTCCTACTTTCTACTGCTAGGTCTCAAGCTGATGTATTGCGCTGCCACGGTAGTATGTGCATCATGACCCAGCCCACAGACATCTTGGTTACACTAGTCGTTAGCAAAGTACTTCATGATCTTTATGTTTAAATGGTGCTGGACAGCTCAGGCTTCACTATCATCACAGGAAGCATCTTCTTCCTACTCTTTTCATGACCTTGGATGATAAAAGGACATAAAGGGGAGTCTAACAACCTTCTGCATCTAAAAGGAAATGACATCTTTAAAAAATGATCTCATTTCTTTCTGTAGAAAATAGAGTCATTATCCTCCCTTCTCCTCCCTTCAGCTGCAGCCATTTTCTGCCCTCCAATATGTGAGGCCACCCATGACATGTAAAATTTAGTGCAAGTAAATTCAGCTCACTCAAGGAATGACCACAGGAAAGCAAAGAAAAGCAAGGAAGCTGAACATGTGCACTGTCTGTTGGTGCATCAAAGCTAAAGCAAGCAGGAGAAAGGACATCAGCCATAGTGCATTTCCACACAAGTGACAGTGAGGAGTGAGAACTGCCAGGATTCAGAGGAAAGAGGAAAAAGTGAGGTGATTTGGACTTTTAAGCAACAATCCACCCAGGGAAATGTGGCTATTAAAGTTAACTCTTGGATAAACAAAGAAGATGGAAATTACTCCGGAATTAATCGGATTTAATTTAATTTGAGAGCAAGCCTGGTTGTGGGGTAGAGCACTTGTCTAGCAATCAGGCGTCTTGAATCTGCAACTCTGCTACCAACTCCAGTAAATTGCTTTGCCACTTAGTCCTTCAGAGATAGTAGTAACTGTCCCTAGTATTGTTCTCAATGGTGTTTTCAAGATGTGTGATAATGTCCATAAAAGGTTTGAAACTCTACAGAGGAAAGCTCTGAGTTTAAATATTTGATCCATTTGTAATTAAATATCCATTTTACAAATATTTATGAGCTGTTACTAAACATATAGCACTGTGTTAGGGGTTATGGAGAGATAGAAATGAGTAAGTCAAAACTAATTTATTCCTGTAGCTAATAATTGAGTAGCAAGGATGCTCACAAATAAAAAAATAGCTGTTACTTAGACAATATGAGACACACACAATTAGAACAAAATAGTCTTCTGGCAGCCCATGCAAGGAAATAATCACTTCTTGCCAAAGGGAAATGGGAAAGATTTTACAGAGAAAGGGAACTTTGTGTGAACATTGAAGGTTTTCTATGATATAAAAAATCAAAGATATGAGAAGGGTCTTTCAGGAGTAGAAGAAAGTATAGGCAGAAAAAGTATCTGATTTGAGGGGTGCCAAGTAGTCTCTTTTTGGTCATAGCATAAGATATACGCAGAGAAGTAGTTGAGGATAAAGTTAGAAAATGGAAGTTAAGTTCAGACATGAAGAGCTTACATACTATTCAAAAGAATTTGAGCTTCATTTGATATGGAGAAGTGTCATATGTCTTCTCATGTTCAGTAAATGGCTAGCTAGAGCTTTACTCTTGTAACTCTGAATAGATTAGAGTGAGGACACTTTGGACTAAGGTGTCTAAGGTATTCAAATAAGTTCAAGTGTGAAGTATTAGAAATTTGTTTAGGAGGGTGGCAGTGAGATATTTGAGAGACAGAATCTTAAGAAATTCAGACTGACTAGTTGTCAGTGAGAGTGAGGATTTTAAGGATGGGAAAGTGAGGATTTTAAGGATGACTGCAGATTTATGAATGTAGGAGATTGGAAAATTTAAATAAGGAAGTGGAGACAGTCTGATGATAACAATAACACGCCAACTTTTGGATATGTTGAGTTTCATATCAGAACATTTGTCTAGGTGAAAATATTGAAATGTTCAGTCAGTATTTGGAACTATGGAGTAGGGAGATAAAGAGGGAAGTTGTTTCTAAAGATACAGTTGAGGAAAATCATTTGAACACAGATGATATTTGAAGTCATGCACATGAATGAAATCATTATAGTGAATATTATTGACAGAGAGTTGAAGAAAACCAAAGACAGACCCTTAAGTAATAGGTACAAACTAAGAAACAGAAAAAAGAAATTAAGTCAACAAGAGAAAGACATATGGTCAAAACAATAGGGGTAGCCAGAATGCCTAGGAATCTTAGAAGCCAAGAGAGCAGACAATTTCAGTGAAGAGAGGTCTGTGAGGGGCACGCGCCATGGCTCACTTGGTTAATCCTCCGCCTGTGGCGCCAGCATCCCATATGGACACTGGGTTCTAGTCCCGGTTGCTCCTCTTCCAGTCCAGCTCTCTGCTGTGGCCCCAGAGGGCAGTGGAGGATGGCCCAGGTGCTTGGGTCCCTGCACCAGCATGGGAGACCAGGAAGAGGCACCTGGCTCCTGACTTCAGATAAGCATAGCTCTGGCCGTGGCAGCCATTTGAGGGGTGAACCAATGGAAGGAAGACCTTTCTCTCTGTCTCTCCCTCTCACTGTCTGTCAAATAAAAAAAAAATTAAAAAATTAAAAAAAAGAGAGGTCTGTGTGATGAATTGTACTAAATGTTAAGGAGAGGCCAAGCTGAGTGAAGGCTACGAAAAGACTGAATTTCAGGAGGTATGAGGCCATTAGTGACCTTTGGGAAGCAGTTCCCATGGAGGGGTGAGGAGAAGCTGCTTGACTGCACGTGGTTTGGAAAGTGGGTGGTGACACGTAGAAGTGACTGCAGATTCTATTTTTTGAGATGGTTGGTGGTGAAAAAAGGCTAGATATAGTACATCCATTTCAGTGCATAGCAATTTACAGGAAATATTTTTGTTAGTTAACATTTCTGTTTGTCTTCCTTTTTTTGATCTCTCCTAGACCAGAATATTATTAGTTGGTATAGGAAAAAACTAACGAAGCCACTAAACAATGAAATAATGGTACCAAAAGAGAACAGAGGAGAAGACAGAGGGATTGGTCGTGGAAGGGAAGCAGAAGACATTTTCCTCACAGACAAAACAAAAGGAAAAGCTAAAGAAGGGTAAATACAGAGAAACAGTGGAATGCAGAGGGAGATGTCCAGAGAATTAAAGCAGAACGATATTTTCCTCAATAAAGTTAAGAAATTAAATTATTTACTAAATGAGGTGGTAGAATTGAGCCACAAGCTTAAGGAAAAGGGAAATGATTTAGGCTAACTGTTGCAGAGATTACAGAATGGCATCAAGAAAACATAAATGGATGAATTTCTGAGCATTGACCAGGGACAAAGTGACAAATCTATTACATTTCTTGAATTTTTTTTCAATAACTCTGAGTAGCTTGTTTAATAAGAGTGTGGAGAAAACAAACATTGGGGATTTATTCAGAGTTTAAGATAGGGTATGTGGCAAATATGCAAAACCCAATGTGGCTATGAATTCGTATACATGATGAAAAATATTATTCAAATACTCGAACATTTTTCTGATGCTTCTAGAATAGATAAGGGAGCGAGTAAAATGAAAAGTGAAGTATTACCTGAGAAAATAGGAAAATTTTGAAGGATATTTAGTCATAATCATAGTGAAGTGTTAGTAAATATAAGGAAGTGAAATATAAGGAGGTTTTATTATAAAAAGTATTGCACAGGCCAGTACTTAGACGTCACAAAATTCCAAACTATGACTGGTTACAAACTTTTGCTGACTTCATAAATGACTGATTTGTCATGAATTTAATATGTATTAACATTATTATTGCCCATTAAAAACCGGATTGTTGAGACAAAAGTCCAAGTTTTTAACTTATATACAATGACATTATAAATCCAAAAAGGATACTAAGGAAAATAATGGTGTTGAGGCAGAAAGGAAGGCTTACAATGTGCCAAGTATTGCACTAGGTTTTATATATAATATATATTATTCTATTTATTTCTCCCTACTGTCCTATGAGATTATCATATTGTGATTTCCCCATTTCTCTCCCTTCCTTTTTGTTAAAGAATTTAGGCAACTTGACCAAAGATCTATAGCTGTTGGATAGATGGCGAATAAGTGAAACAATTTTGAGCAAGAAGAACAAGCCTGGAGGCATCATATATCTGGATTTCAGAGTATATCCCCATCTACAGTAATCAAAACAGTGTAATATTGGCATTAATACAGATAGACCAATGGAACAGAATAGAGAGCTAAAAAGTAAACCCATGAATATACTACAACCAAGAATGTACAGTGGGGAAAGGATAGTCTCTTCAATAAATGGCATTAGAAAAATTGAATATTTACATCCAAAAGATTGAAACTGCATCCTTATGTCATACACAAAAATTAAAGCAAAATGGATTAGACTTGAATGTAAGATCTGAAACCATCAAACTCCTAGAGGAAAACATGAGAAAACTTTCTTGACATTTGTCTTAGCAAGGAGTTTTGAACTATAACACTAAAATCCTAGGCAAAAATGTTAATAGCCAAAAATAAAAACACAATTAAAACTACGCAAGGATCCAAATAGACATTTCTCCAACAGAGACATGCACATATCAATAGGTATATGAACAAATGTGCAACATCACCAACCATGAGGTAAATGCAACTCAAAACCACAATGAGTTATCACCTCACATCTGTTAGGATGATACACACACACACACACACACATTCTTAACACATACACACCAAAGAAACAAAAGCCCAAGGGACATAAGGAAACTTAAGAACTTTTGGAGATGATATTATGTTTATTACTTATTTATATTATGTTTATTACTTATATATTATTTATTGGTGACAGTAATAATGACTATATATCCAAACTCATCAAATTATGTGTAGCTTTTTTGCATAATAAAAGATATTTTTGTATAATAAAAGATAAGCATAAAATAAAAAGATTAGTAATTGAAGTTAAGTAACTTGACCAAAGTCCAAAATGAGTGTACAATGAAATTTGAGGCCAGGTTGGAATTTATGTCATTCTGTAGTTACTGGGTCATATTTTCTCAAATAATTCTCATAAGACCATGATAGTGTCTGTCCTCAATGTACCTGGTTAATACAGTAACTTAAAAATCTATGGTCAGTATATCATTTCCTTTCCTTGGTAGGAGGCACTTGATAACTTAACACAACCTGAAAATATGAGCTTTCCTATGTTTGCAGATCATGGAGATGGATAATGGTAAATTGAACTTGGCAAATAAGTGATTTTCCTAACAGTCACCTTGAACTTTGAAAGTAGATTTCAATTTAACCTTAAGTAGATGCTCATTTTCATTCTTCATCTCACTTTATTTGAATTTATCCCACATGAACATGGCCCCAGAGACAAGAGGTAACTGAAACAATATTTCATAAACTGAGCAGCTCAGTCCTTCCATGAGTTAGCAAGGCAGACAAAGAAACCTTTTCTCTGTGTTCAGCTGATCTTGCACTGAGAAGACAGCTCATTTAAAATAATACTATCAAAATGCAGAACTTAGTTCCTTTGTTGGGTGATATAAACAAAGCTTTAACTTCATAGAACAGCATTCATTTTCATACAACTTCAATGTAACCTCAAATTCAAGTCATATTTTAATGTAATTGATATAAAAATGCATATATATATATATACACACACATTCGCAAATACGCAGTTCCATTTCAGTCTTGTTCTTTTCTTCAGAAAGAATAGAACTAATCTACTCTCTTTATTGTGTGATTTTTGCAGCAATATCTCTGACTCAATTAACTGGTCAATTCAGTCAGTCAAATACTCCGTCATTATGATCAAACTACTAGTTTAATGATGTTTTCTTTCCCCAGTTTACTGATTTATTATTTGACTGAAATCACTAACTCAGTTGGTATTTCAGTATTGGGTGGACATATCTGTAATGACTAGTTAGGTGGAGCAGGCACACTACACTGATGTTCATATAAAAAGATTATATATCAGAAGCCAGATAAATGCTAAAATTAGTCCTCTTTAATGTATCGTTGTAGTAATACCCTTTCTTTTGGTTCATTCTACTTGAATTCATTACCACCTTTAATTTTTGTAAGTTTACATTTTTCAACTATATGTTTCACAGCCAGCAGAGATGAAATATTTTATGAGCATTTATACAGTCATAAATTACGGACATTAAACACATGTAATGATGCCAAATTACAGAACGTCAAAAAAATCACAATTTGCATATTCATCTTTAATTTCTGTACCAATAGTAAAAAGTAAAGTTACTAGATAAGTCATTTGCACACATGAAAGATTTATCTTAAACTTCCAATGCATTTATTGATTCCAGTGAGTGTTCCATTCATTAAATGTCTCCTAAATGGTCTGTGTTTCTGGTTGCAAAGTCATCGTGTGCCATTAAGCATTATGGAAAATGTCAGCATGCTATGATTCAACAACACTAAAAATGCTAAAAACAAGGACAAGTAGAAAGATGAATTAAATTCAAAAGAAAAAACGCTCTAATAAATTTTAAGTTCTAATTTTAATTAACTTAAATCAAATGATGTGATGAAAATATAGGTTTGTGTGCCCTATGGTGGGATTCTAGTTTATGAGAAAATGTGATTCTTTACAGATTTGGTAAATATTAAAGGCTTTTTAAATATAGAGATGTTGAAATAATAATATGGTCCATTCATTATGACAGATACATGTGTTGTATTTTATACAACTACTAGATCATTGATTTCTTTATAACTTTCTGGTTTTCATGTATTATCCAGCTCAAATTTTCCCAGAAACAAACCTGAACTTGTGATTATTCCAGGGAGGACTTTGAAGTTCTCCCTATTATTCTGCAGTGCTATTCTTCTTTTCCTCCTTTTGATGTTCCTTCTCCTCTAGAACTGCACTGTAGAATACAGTAGCCACAAGTCATATGTGGCTATTTAAATTAAAATTAATGAAATTTAAATAAAATTAAAAATTCAGTTTTTCAGTTGCACTAGGTAGTATTATTACAAAAGTTCTTCTTGACAAAACTGTCCTAGAATATTATCCTGTATGAGTATATGTTATTGCTCAGGGCATATATTTTTGATTAAGGTGGAAACAGAGTATGGTTACATTCTTACTTTCATCAAGATATATCTGCATGATAATAAAAGAGATATCAGAATACCAAATAGTCTTTTAAAGTCAACAAAATTTAGATTGTAAATAGTGGATCTCAAGAAAAGTAGGTGAGGGAATTATTTGAGGGAAGAGATTTGTTCTAGTACAATTCAAATCATACTGGGCGCAAATGTAGCATTGTGGTCACTGATACACGGAAGTATTTGTTTGTTTATTAATTCTTTTATCATTTTATGCATTTCATTTTTATTTACAGTGTAGCTATGATTTTCTGTTTGCTGGAGATACTGTGGTGATTGAAATAGATATGCCTTTATCCACAATGAGCAATAGTAAGAGATAGCAACAATCAAATAGGCACCTATTTTCTATGGTAAGTGCTATGATAGAGACCATAAAAGGAGCTCAGTAGGAAATACCGCATCATGGACATGGAGCAACAAGAAGGCTTGAGGTAGCCAAAGAGTGATATTTTTTCTTTTTTTACAATTGCAGTTGTTGTATGAAAGTTAAACATAACCTGAGTCTTGAGAGATGTACAAGGGTTAGTCAGTAATAGGAGTGAGGGGACAAACAGTATTTCAGGCGGAGGATGTCCAAAGGCTACAAGCAAAGCAGCACTAAATCAGCTTGTGGTTAAGTTGTGCTGCGAAACCACCCGGAGAAAATAGGGGAAAAGGCACCAGCGCTTGCCTTATTCTATTCTATGTGATCATAAGATGAGATATCATCTTCCATTAACTTTCACATCTAGGAATACTACCTAGGTCTAGCAGACTTCAGAGGCATATATTTGTTATTTGTTTCTAATGTATATATTATGCATATAATAAATGCTATTTTATCTATTATGGAAATTGCTTCTAAGTGATAATTGATCAAATCTGGGACTTTTTAAAGTTTTGAAGAAACTTTAGGACAACTTGTCACCAGCTTCCCCTCCTTATGTACTGAAATGTTACCATTTCTCCTTGTCTCCTGGCCTGACCAAATTTATGAAGGCTTCTCTAATAGCTTTTCTGCCATTACACTTCCTTTCTATATACTTTTGGTAAATGAAATGAGTCATACATGTGGCTTTAACTTAAGCCACTCTAGACCCCTTCCTTGGTATCAAGAAATACAAAAAGAAAAAAATGAATTTCCTATCATCATGAAATTGCTTGAAGAAAAGGTATACGGTGGCAAATTATTCTGAGGGAATCAAACATTCTCTCCCACTTCTGTTTGCACTTTTTTCCTGCCTAGCACATCCGTTATACTCCTGGCTCTCCTGTTACCTATTAAGTCCAACCAGGATTGTTGTCCTTGACCTTGCCAAAGTTTTCAAACTTGTCCAATAACATTTCTGTTGCTATTCTTCTGTCTTGTTTGTCATGGACTTTTGCAAGAATAACTGTTAGGTAATGAAATTATAGATACAGGAATGGAAGATATTCTGTTTTCTAGTACTGTTTTTTTTTAAGATTTATTTTTACTTGAAAGTCAGAGTTACACAGAGAGAGAAGGAGAGGCAGAGAGAAGAGAGGGAGAGAGGGAGAGAGAGAGAGAGGGAGAGAGAGAGAGAGAGGTCTTCCATCCGCTGGCTCACTTTCTAATTGGTCGCAATGGCTGGAACTGCACCAATCCGAAGCCAAGAGCCAGGATATTCCTCCGGATCTCCCAAGTGGGTGCAGGGGCCCAATGACTTGGGCCATCTTCCACTGCTATCCCAGGCCATGGCAGAGAGCTGGATCGGAAGAGGAGCAGTGGGGACTAGAGCCGGTGCCCATATGGGATGCCAGCACTGCAGGTGGCGGCTTTACCCACTACACCACAGCGCCAGCCCCTCTAGTTATGGTTTTAATGTACAAACATTCTGCTTCTAATATGCATGCATCTAAAGGCGCTACGTGTGTTATAGTCTAAAGAACAAGCCCTTACATTGTGACTTTAGGCAAATCATTTTCCTAACAGACTAAATCAGTGGTTTTCAGTGTTTAATAGAACCTAGGGACAGTGGAGGTGCCACTGGACTCCCTGGGATAGGTGGGGAGAGAAGGATGCTAGTTGTGTAAGTTTTCAGGTCCCGCCACTCTCTATTTGACTAGAGAAACTCTTCCTTTTTTATCCTGCTTTTGATCAAATTCTATGAAAAATTTTATAAAAGGCACAAACCACTGGCCAATAGCTCTATGCAATGTGCAAACTTTCCTTTTATATTATGTTCTTTTCCCCCGTGCCAGCGTAGTCCCTTGAATATTGCAAATGTTCCACAAGACATACATTGGAAGAGTGAATGAATGAATGAATGAATAAAATAAATGTAAGAATTTTGCTCCCCTTCCTGCTTATGTCAAGAACTGGATTCTCACTATGGTTCCTATTATCTTTAGGCAGCATGTATCTACTTTGAATGCCTTTCCTTGTTTTTTTTTTTCTAATAACACTTTAGTGACTTAATAATTTCTTTTTCTGAAGCACTCCAGATCTTAGTAAATTTTTGGATATCTAATTATATTATAATAAATTAATTTCTCATTACTGTTTCTGCTAGTATTAATAACAAAGTTATTATT